TTCACGGTTAAAATTTTATTTGCACCCAAATTTCTCTTTAAAAAAAAAAAAAAACAAAAAAAAAAAAAAAAAAGCTTGAGATAGTATCAAACAGGCTATAAAAAAATATTGAAATGAAATTAAGCATTTTAATTTGTAAATGATAGGCTCAATATTAGCTACATTTTAGCAGCTCTAACATAGCTGTTGGTAATAACCATTTCTTTATTTTATTTCTTAAATTTCTTTCGTCATTTATTTTTTGCTAAAAAATTGTGCACAGCTCTCGTTCTCTGCAGTGTTCAGCTGATATGTTTGCATGGATTGTAATATGACTGAATTTATTACATCTTTATTACATCTTTAATATTTAATATGTAAATATTAAATATTGCTCAATCTTTGCCTACTCGTTGGCAAAAACTTTAACTTGTTAACTAGCAAATAAGCTAATGCTAAAGTCACGCTTCTTGCTTACAGTGAATGAGCCATCTTAGTTATGTTATGATGTAACAGATTTGCAGGTTTTATTATTGTTGATATTAATCGCAGACATTTTAGGCGTGAGTAACAGAAAAAGCTCTGACAAAAGAAAAACAGATTCGGAAATGACCAATTATTCGAGTAAGATTTTTTTGATTAAGTTGTCTTTTAGATGTTAGACTTCCATCATTTCTACTCATAAACACTGATTGAAATCGAATCCAGCAACTTTCCCCCCTCTCAATTTGTTACATCTGTTTATTAATTTATAACACCTTCATTAATTAGTGTGTGATTTAGTTTTATGCGCTGACAGGTCGATTAATAATGTCGACCTTTGTAGCGGAGAAGAAATAAAATGCTTAAAACAAACAAACAAACAAAAAAAAGCCTGTTCTAGAAACATTTGGCATATAAACAGCAACCAGAACATCCAAAAGGGGAATACCATTTTTTTAAAGTTGTAGATTAAAAAAAGAATTAAAAAAATAAATAAAATAAAAAAAACACAGATTTTAGGAAAAGGGGTTTTGAGTGGTCCTGTTAGGCACAACGGAGCAAAGGCGACCAACTGCATACTCCGCTCAACAATGCACAATTATTACATTATTCTCCTCCCCAGAGGCCTGAACGTGTTTCATCAAGGCGAACCAATGAGAATGGGATGTAAACCAGAGAGAGACAGAGAGAGACAGAGAGAGAGAGAGAGAGAGAGACATTTAGCACAAACAGGAAACAGTTCGAGCATAACGAAGACATTTCGAACAAAACGTTTTTCGGTTTTCCCCAGAAGAAAAGCCGTATTAGAGAAATCTTCCCTTTTATTTTAACATTTCCGTCAATTTTCTCCTGAAACGTTCATCTGCAGTTTAAGAAATGTCCCTCTTGATTTGAGAGCAAAACTATACATTCAGAATGGAGTCTGCATGTTTTAATATACATTTCAAGTGTGATTTATTTAGTCGAATTCGTCTTAATTTGTCTGTTTTTCTCCCCTCTAAATGACAGGTTGTCTCTATTTGTTTATTTGAACGTTGTCTTAACTTAAACTGACATGTTTCTACATCGCAACATCCATGTCACATCGTTTGTGAGAGCACCTTTAAAGAGAGTTTTTCCAAATAAATCTGGCTGTCAGATTCCGTCCCGTGAAGCCCGCCGAGTCAGACAGTAAAAAGCAGATTGAAACCTTCTGCCTTCTTTCAGTAACCTTTTCTTCTTCTCTCCCTCCGTCTGGTTCACGTTACTTTTTTTTGTACTTTTATAAGCACTCAAACAAATCGAATACAAGTTTGCCAAATAATTAACAGTTCTCAGCTCCCATCCTCCTCATTAAAACACTTCCCCTCTTCCATTTCATTCCGACTTGCCAACGACAACATTCCGCTGAAAACGAGTGCGCCAGCGCGGAACGACTCAGTGATCGACTGAGTGAGTGATTGCGTTATTTAAGTTGTCAGTCTTGTCTGATTTTAAAACCTTTTTCTTCTTTTTCTGCTTTATTTGCTTGGTCATTTGAAGCATCCTGCTGTATCTTTCAGCTAAATCTTGTTGGTTAAATCTCAAGAGCTGCCCCCCCCCACCCCCCAGACTTTTAAATGATCGATGATGAGAAAGTGTTCCCTCTCTTATTCAGATTTATCTATTTAATATATGATTTTACCACTTATAATTTTTTTCTAAAGCAAACTGAGACATGGATTTCTTAGTTTTTCTTTATTTCTTTATTTAAAAAAAAATAAAATAAAATAAAAATCTGCTCCTGCGTGCGTAAAATGACGCGCAAAAGGCGCACAGGTTGTTTTCCTCCAAAATGTGACACTGCTGCGATTTTAAACCGAGTCCCAGCTCAGCCGAGGTTCATGCTGCAGGTTAGAATGCAGCGCAATGCTTAGTGGGGTTAGAGGGAGGTTTGAGAGAGGTGGTGGTGGGGAAGAGGGTAGGGGAACTGAAAGCAACACCAAAAAGCAACCAAAGGCGCTCGAGCTGCAAGAACTTAAGTTTCCGTAATTAAAGTGGTGCTCGCAAAGGGAGGTTCCGCAGTAAAACAAGAAGGGAGAAAAAAAATTCAAACCACTTCACAGAAGAGGAAGCGCTCTAATTTTCCCCTCTTTTTCTCTCTCTCTCTCTCTTTCTTTTTCCTTTTCTTCTCTTTTCTCGGGGATCTGCCCACCGTGGCCGGGCCGGGTCATTACGGGAGAATAGACAGTGTTTGATATGTTATGACATGAACACTCAATTAGATCACCGAGTTCAAACACTGCAGTCAGCCGTTCCGATGCCAAGCTGCCCCTCAGAAGGGTCCAGCTCGGGGTCAGAGCCACTGACACATCACATCAGAATCACAAGAGAGAGCCTGACACGTCCAACCCCCCACCCCCAAAATCCCCTCCTTAACCAGCACACACCCCCAACTCCTCCCAAAAAATAAATCAAACCAAGTCCCACTGCCAGAAACCAACAACGTCCATCAGGTCTACGCGCAAATCAAGTTTAAAATCAGCTGCGTCGCTAATGGGGGGCAAAAGGGGCCCCCCACGATAAATACATTTATTGATTTAACCTTCATTCGTGGGCCACCTCCTCACATATACACACAGAGTTAAAATTAAAGTGTGCAACGCCAAGGTTTTCAGTTCTGGTACCCGGTTCGAAAACCTTCAGTTGGAACAGCTCTGTCGGAAGCGGCATCGAAATCTCTAAACTGTCTGGATTGCACAAAACAGAGTCAATACAGTGTCGAAACAAATCAAAATTCATTTTTTTATATAAAAGTATTGACTCTCACATGTAGCATCAAGATGTTGGGATGTTTTGCAGCCTGCGGAGCGTCTGGACTGCCAAAGACTTGCTTTTTATTTCTCCCTCAAAGATTAACTCCTGTCCTTGCAATGTGTTTGTGTGTGTGTGTGTGTGTGTGTGTGTGCGCGCGCGCGCGCGTTTGTGTTGATCGGACTGTGTTTGCTCTCGCAAGCTGCTCCTATCACTTGGTTACACATGTATAACTGACTCAAACACCTGCTGCTCACACCGACCCGTTCTGCGCCCCCATGCCCCCCTCCGCCCCAACCCTGGGCCCCTCCGGACCCCCTTTGTTGGCACAAGCTGGCCTTCTACTGGGTACCATAATGGCAACAGATTGGACGTTTTAATAAGTGATGGCTGCGGTGTGGGGTGAGGGGGCTGGACTCCGTTTGAAGGTTTGTTAGAGGAGGAAAATCGAAGGAAGCGACGACGGAGACATGGACCTTTCCACATTTTAGATTCTAGGCTGACAGCGCTCGTTTAGAGAAAGAGAGAGAGAGAGAGAGAGAGAGAGACCATTATAAGTTCACTGTAGTTTTTATTTAAAACCAATTAAACTCTGTTCTCTCTCAAAATAAGTTGAGAAATTAAAAAAAGTGCAGCCTTAGCATAATTCATGAAAAATATATCAAGATTTCACAATATCTGATCGCGTAAATGTGCTTTTGTTTGCTATACACCGTGCGTAAAATCTAAAGCCGGTGATTTAATACGCTGCAGAAGATTTTTCCCCCTTCTTTGGTTTCTAGCATGTTCAGTGATGATACTATCAGATCGGTGGGCTGCGCAGTCGCTCTGAATCCAACCGGCTCGGTTTCTCTCTCTGCAAAAACTGTTGTGGTTTTCACAGAGTCAGAGGACGAGGATTTAAATCAGTTGATCGTCTGAAAGAAAGGAGACGAGAAGTGGCAAATAATCGCTTGTTTTCACATGAACCGAAATAAATCTGAAGCTCTTGTGTATTGTCTAAAAATTCAAAAACATTTGATTAGATTTTGAGCGCGTAAAATGCGTCCGTATAAGTTTTTTTTGTTTGTTTGTTTTTGCTTCATCTGGAGTGTGCGTAAAAAGATCTTGACCCTACTCTAATCGGTTCCAAGAGAACGGTATATCAGAGCAGACCCGGAAAAAAAAGAGAAAAAAAAAACCCAACCTGTTCCTTTGTCCACAAAACTCGTTATGGTGTTGGCAGACTTTGAAGAGCTGAAGAAGCTCGCGTTTAGTCCGAGTTTCTCGGCCGCCGAATACGTCCTGTATATGGAGAGCATGTACTCGTGCGGCACCACGGCGTCCTTTGGGACCTCTCCGTCTTTGTGATGTCCCGCTGCGGGGTGCGAGGAGGCGATGATGTCTCTGAAGAGCCTGGGTGACCTTTGTCCATGCGGATGAGAGGTCCTGGCTTCCCTGTTCCTCCTCGGCGCAGAAGGGGAGATGATAGCAGCAGACTGGAAACACGGTACATTCCCAAACAAAACGAGGAGCAGGCCCAGATGTACCGCAGCGAACCGAGATGCGTCCATGGCTAGATGATGATGATGATGAGTTCTTCTTTTTCTTTTCTTTCTTTTTTTTTTGTAAATCTCCCTCTTGTTGGTGAAGTGAAGCGCCTGGAGCCCCGGGGTGGGAGATGATGGTGTGCGCGTCAGAGTCGGAGAGCTCCCACCTTTTGCGCTCTGCGGTCGCAGCAGAAGAAATGCGTTTTCCTCGCTCTGAACTCCACACAAGAGCGGAGAGACTGCTGGGCCTGAGAGAAACACGCCCACATGGTGGCTCAAATGCAGGGCTTCCTAAACAATCTTCATGTCACAGAGCTCCACGGAGCCGCGGCTGAAGCCGGCGGACCGCCAGAGGTGACACAGACAGGACTCAGAGGAGTAAACAAATCGGGCGTCATCGCGTCAACATGTAATCTAATCTGTTGAAAAAAGAAAAAAAGAAGGAAAAAAAACAAACACCCTCAACTAATGTGACGAAGAAAGTAATTCTTATTCCACAACCAAACTTATCCGTTCTGAGCTTTAAACTGAAAGCACATGTCTTATCAGCAGAGGCATGTCTGCAGTCCCGCAGAACCAAAGTGCAAGTCCGCACAGAGTCCAGACTTATCGCAAAGTCTCCCAATCCCAACCTCATCTGATCTGATAAGATTTTTTTACACGCAAGTACAGGTTCACCATGAAGAGGAGACGCTTCTGACGCATAAAAGTTTCTGACCTTTCAATTTGTTTACTCGCTGGTAGAAATGGTCGAATGCATTAAAAAAAAGAAAAGAAAACAACAAACCAAACCAACAATAAAAAAAACAGATCCCATATCAGCCAAAATTTATTTTCCCTCAACACATTAACAAACCCACATAAATGTCATCAATTAACCTTTAAACAAAACACTTTTCAACTTAAAAGATACCTACGGGGTTGATAGTCGTTTAAATTCGTCAATCACACATGGAAGGACTCTGGCGACATCTAGTGGTTGACATAATCTATTACAAGAAAGCTCTATGGACCGAGAAGCTCACGATTGAAGCTGAACGTGTGTGTGTCTACCCTAACCCAACCCATGTTCATTCTTCAGGTAATCCTTTATATAAAGAACAAAAACCGCTAAGCTAAAATCTAATTACGAAGTGAATGCTACCAGTCAAAATTTGCATTAATTTCACGATTTCACTGCTTTTGCAGCTGCTACATTCGCGCCGCTACTCTGTTCCGCTTCTCTTTCACAGTTACTTGTGCAACTTTACTTCGTTTCTCAGCAACAAAATACAGCCCATCGTTATTTATTGAAGATTTTACATTTCCAAAAACACAGGAATATAATGTTTCGTTTCGTTTTGTACGTTTGGAAGCTCATTCCCTCTCACATAATCGGAAAAGCCGGGGAATGGCGGCGCTTTTGACATTTCTCTGAAAAATATTTTAGCATAACTCCGGTTATACTTGGCCTATTAACACAATTTAAAAGATGGTGTGTAGTTTATAATGTGCACTTTAAGCTCAAGTTGAAATTGAGACTTAGGGAGCCGGAGTCTTGCTGCTACGTAGTAACGAACTAGATGTTAAAAAGAGCCGTCAGGCTATGGACCCCTATGGTTCAACAGATCAATACTCGCGGATGAAAAATCGATACTTTCCGAGGGCGGAAAATATCGATATATATCGCCGAATCGATTAATTTATTCAGCCCTAGTTAGCATAGCAACCAATAATGTCGTACAAACCGTTTTCCTGTAAAGGTGAGTTGTTTCTCTGCCATTAGCACATTTAGCAGCACAAGGATTACTGACAGCGCTAAGATCCTCCTCCTGGCTCTGATTGGTTGTTTTTAACCGGCCTGGTTCATTTGTGTAGGCAGCAATAGCAGCACAAGGAGAAAATGGAGGAGCTCACTTAATTTAGATAAATAAATAAATAAGTAAGTAAGTAAGTAAGTATGTATGTCACCTAATGCCGAGATCGACTCAAAACCTTCCGCGATCAATGTATTGCACCACTGCTCTAGCAAAGTACGAACAGTTCAGAAACAATGGGAAATGGGAATAAAGCTATTTATTAACTGATTAAGTCGTATTTTAGATTGTTCTTGAAAAACTAATCAGTCACGGCTGATTAGCGGGTCCACTCATGGCTGCACATGCACCCATTGATTCTTTACAGCAGACAGCCGCTCCTCACAGCTTCTTGCAGGTACCGCGTAACCCCTCTAAATCTTTTAGGGCTACGCAGTACCCGACTGTACCTGCCTACTTTCACCCCTGATTGGAGGTACAACACTTTTAGAGATGATTTCGAACGATTTTAGAAAGTTTTCCATTTCCAGTAAAAATGATTCTTACTATCGGTTGGGGCCTTGGGTATCTCATCACAAAAGGAGTAGAAAAACTCCTGGGATACAAAATTAAAGATGAAGACTTTCCAGAAGAGAGCTCATCTGATGAAAGATTTAGGAACTTTTGTTTTGAGGATGTTGCCGAAGACAACTTAAAATACAGTGATGTGTCAGTAAAAGACAACGTAAAAGATGAAGGACTTTTAGTAAAAAGCAAAGAGGACTGGAGATGGAAATATTTTTGTTTTGAGGAGATTGTCCCTGAAGACGAAAAGGAAGCCTCCTCTAAAGTTCAGGAAGTAACCATCAAAACTAATTTTACATCTGAGGACACAGTTGCTTTGCAAAGTGTCTGTGTTCCTGAAATCAAAATAGAGCTGCCTTTGGAAGCTTGCACTGGGGATACGGAAATAAGGAGTGAAAACACTTTAGAAAACTTCAATGACGTAGCTTTGGAAAGTGTTGATGTTCCCCATAAAGACATGGACCTGACTGTTAAAGCAAGCACGGACGCAACAAACAACGATGTTTCCTCAAAGGAAGTTCACCCTGGAAACATATGTGCTGGGACAATTGTGTCACATTTTGACGATATCTCTGAGTATTTTTCACCATACAAATGGCCATCTTCAAAAGAAAGCTCAGATGACATTCCAACTGACCCTGAGTATTTTGACAGCATTGATGCTTAAGAGCTTGATGCTTCCTCTAAGGATGAAGAAGTTCGTTCTGGAAACATAAATGGTGAAAATATGTGGGGACATTTTGACTTTGGGCACCACTGCTGTAGAGTTTAAACATTGGGGCCACGACAAACCAAACTGTGATACCAATGGAGTCATGGAGAAAGAAGACCATTGCTGATTCAGTAAGTGTCATGACAATGTCGGCGCAAGGGGCGGGCAGAAGGTTCTGGAGGGCCGGCAGAGCGCTCGGAAGGGGCTCTGGGAGGCGGGGACTCGGAATAGATACTTGAAGTCAATTTTTTTCTTTTGATTTTTAGTACTCTAACTGCATTTTTTCTATAAAGTGTATTACCAGAAAAGAGCAGAAAAATTTCAGCCCGTTATGTCTAATGGTTTTTGAGATTTTGGGGGGTAGGTGTACCTTGCCATACACCCACCTTTGAGAAGAAAAAGATGGGGTTTTTGAAAGCTTATTACTTAAAAAATAAATCAATGTGACACTTATTTGTAATGACATTCTTTAAATATATATAAATCATATTGCAAAACATGAAAATGCACATTATAAGTAGCTTACTTTAAAAATGAAGATTCTTCTTCATAAATATTATATAATAATAATAATAGTTATTATTATTATTATTATTCAATTATTTTTGAAATATTAATTATTTCAAAATAATTATTATTTTGAAAAATTAAGTAATTTCAATATTGACCCCGACAGTACACATGGCATTTTTGGAATACCATATTAAAAAATATATGTTGAAACCAAGCCCCAAAAACTATTTTGCCCAGCCTGCTGTGTGTTCTTAACATGCTCAATTTTTTTGTAGGGGTCTGGGACAATTAAATAAAAATTTATTAGGTCCAAAGCTAATTTGACCGACGGAAAAAAAATTCAAAAATTGACAAAATTTAGTATTTTTTTTTTGCTGCTGAATAAAATAAAGGCATGCCTTTTTGGCCATCCTTAATAGTTTCCTTGATATTGCTGGTGGGAAATAGGGATGTTTTGCTTGATTTAAAAAAAAATCTAATTTTAGAGAATTTTTAACTTGCACCAAAATGTTTATTTTTTATGCATTTAATTGAAAGTTCCTTCCTAGAAGTCAATAAGGCTTCTGTATCAGATAAAGGCATTTATTTATGGCTATCTCTATTAGGATTTTTTATATTGCTGGCAGAAAATAGATTTTTTTTTTTTTTTTAGATTTATTTTTTTATGGAAACTTCCCTTATCCGACCATCTAATAAGAGCTGAAGTATTGCTGGCTCCAAAGACGACAGAGAAGACGTGCAGCAGCGACTGGAGCTCCGGCAGGAGAGGTGACCGTGTAACACTTATGACACGATTACAGTTAATAGGACAGACAATAGGACCAGTGCTAGGTTCGGGAGTAGGGAGAAGTGTAAGTGGATTAATGACCACAGACCAGAAAATAAGTTTAAACTGCCAGCTTATTATTTGTTGAAAAGAAAACAAACAACAATATTACAAACAGTTGACATACAATGACACAAAATTCAAAATAGTTTCCCTGTTTCTTCCAGAATATTTTATTTAATCCCTGTTTTGAAATTTAAACATAATGTTAGGTATTAAAGAATACTATTTATTCAAACCTAGGTAATAGTTATATTTAAGTTCAAGATAGTACTGTTAATCTATTTAATTTACAGTTTATTTTTAATCTTTTTAAATCTATTTTAGTTTAGTGTTCTTTTTGAGAAGTTAAGGTTTTTTAATTTCCTGTTTTAACCATTTCTTGTTTCTATTTTAAACCCAATGGACAATTTCACATTCCACACACTGTAACAATGGATATTGAATGTGGTTCGAGAAGAAAAAAAAACTAAAACACAACAGAAACAATCCAGCAAAAGACCGAATAACTTGTGCTTCAAATCAATGTCTTTTCTCTCTGATGATCCTGAAGGGTAAATCCCGTTTCTCTGAATCCACTGCTATTTCAGCAGGGAAACATGGGCAGGTCATACCAGTTTGGATGATTTGCAATGTCCAGCAGAGGGCGTAGCTCCTGCTAGACTGCGGTCACAGGGCAACCTGGGTTACGGCTCGCCATCTTGTTTCTCACTAGCGGAATCCAACTCAGCAATCGACTCGGAATTTCCTGGTCCAATTTCCAGCAGAACCTTAAAGGCCTGTTTTAATAACCAACAAAGCATAATAAAAGTTCGTTTAACTTCGCTTGGTACTGAATAAAATAATGTACTCGCTGATTTGGCGGCTGAACATCCATCTGTGAGTGCGTGTTCCTGTGTGTGGGGGAAGGCCGTTACTTCGACGGTTTTTTAACATAAAAACAACATAAATGCGCTACTTTAGCTTTCCGTTTCAATGAAATAAAAATATCTTACAAATACATTCTTCTCAGAAAATAAAATACACTTTTTAACTCACCAAGTCTAGTTCTGTAACATATAACACTCCCGAACGCAGTCAGGTTTAAAAAAATGCGGAAAGCCCCTTCTCCAA